AAATGGTATTAAGTGGTACGTGTTCAGTTTTTTTAAAGAAAAAAATCACACCACTGAACTGGTAGCCATGACGAGCTAAGCAGCTGAAACTAGATTTTCCTGTAATGCTGAACAGTGGTTGTATGCAGGAACCACTTCTTCAAATACAGAGAGAATATCTTCATCACATCAACTTTCAATTACTAGTTAATTCAAAACTAAGTAATCAAGTAGGAATTGAAAAAGTAGGAAAGACTGTCTTCCACTTCAATATACAAATAAGAACTAGGTGTGAGAGAATGTGATCTAGTTTTAAAATCCCGAATGACACAGTGACCACAAACAATCTATTCAATCCACTCACTACAAACAATACTTCCTTTTAATAAATTTAGATGCAATCATTTGCATCTAAAACATGTTTTATACATTTTAAATAAATCTTTTCACTTAAGTAACAAGCACATTTAAGGTGGTTCTACTTCAGTGGTCTCCAACCTTTTTACACCAAAGATCACTTTTTAAATGACAGACCAAGCCCAGATCTACCGCCCCGCCCCTTCCTTGAAGCCCCGCCCTCTCTATTCTCCTCTTCTTCATCACTTGCTATCCCCAATCCTTATACTGCTGCTTTTTTTAAAAAAACATAATTCTTTTGTAGGAAGAGGTTTTTCCAACATTTGGCCTGTCTAGACTGGACCAAATGTCAGAAAAAAAACCCTTCTTTTGGAAGCCCCTTTATTCCTTGAGGAAAGAGGAATAGGGGTGACCGAAAGAGCATGTTTGCTCTTCCACTAAAAAAGCGGAAGAACAAATGCAATCCTAGATGCAGAAACGGGCTGGGGGGGGGGTTCCAGGCCGGGCAGTGTTGCGGTACTAAGCAAGCCACAGGTTTGTGGATGTGAGGGTGCAGGAATTTGGGTTGGGGGTTCCAGTGTTTGATAGACTCAGATCTAAGGTCTAGGGAAGGAGGAATGCAGGAGTGGTTGTGGCCAGATGGGGGTTTGGCCCCAATTGTGGGTTTGTTGGCCAGGTTCCATTTTTAAATAAAATACTATGTTAAACACAAAAAGTTTCTGCATTGTCTTTATTTATGAGAATGGCAGGAAACCTGCCTTGAGTCAGGAGTCACTGACCCATAGAAAAGTCATTCGGGAGCAGGGGACACAGTACTGGGGAAGGGTGCTAGTGGGTTCTGGGGCAGGGAACAGGGTGCCGATGGGGCAGGGTGCCAGAAGGACAGGTTTCTGCAGCAGGGGACAGGGTGCTGGGGGGGGGGGGGGGGGCGGGGTTTTG